TCAAGTCTATTAGAGATACTGAACAGCTCTGAGGCAGGTGAGAGATGCTAATTGGTGGGGTATAAGCTTTCATTGCTTGTTAGCTACATTAGCCACGTAGCTCCAGCGCTAAAACTGACGAAGCAAACTTCAGACACGCCTCAGCTGATCTACACACAGAAGGGGAGACTGGGTGGGTTCGATTAAACCAAACTATCGCTTTAATCCTAAAAGGGGATCTGAGCCTCGGAGCCAGAGAAGCACAAAGCAGCGCAACAGGTTTTTCCTCGAGTCGCAGAAACTCGGCGGCGCCTGGTTTCGCTCGTCTTTAACATTCAGCCCGCAGACGGGTGGCAGCACAAGCAGAGGCAAAATGTGAATCGAATTAACACTAATCAAAGCTAATCTTATTAGGAGATTATTCAATCTGCGTCGAGCAGACAAACAACCCACCGGGGGCAAGACATAAGTCTTTAATTCAGGGAGATAAGAAACGTAAAAAGGGAAATATATTAAAATGGATGAGGTGAATTAAAAGGTCACGGAGTAATTCTGAAAACATGCTTACACTTGAATGCAAATAGCATTATTCATACAGTAACGGCAGAATGGCAGGAAACCTCCAAATGTTTATGTGCAACCAATTACAAGGCCACTCCCCCCCCCCTCGCCGCCCACTCTCTCTCTCTCTCTCTCTCTCTCTGTCTTCAAAATAAATATATAAATATTTAGATATATATAAATATGCAAATATACAAATATTAAACAAAGCAGAGCGAGAGATTTTCCTGTAGTCCTCTGTGATTAACGGTTGTGAAAACCAGAGGGATGTTTTATATATTAAAAACAGATTAAATTATCAGCTTTCATCACTAATGAGATACGGCCCTCAATAAACACTTATACAAAAGATATTAGTCCATAAACAACCTTAATAAACACTCCTATACGCTAGAATAGGAGATATTAGTCCATAAATTACCTCAATAAACACCCCTATATGCTAGAATAGGAGATATTGGTCCATAAACAACCTCATTAAACACCCCTATACGCTAGAATAGGAGATATTAGTCCATAAACATCCTCAACAAACACGCCTATACGCTAGAATAGGAGATATTAGTCCATAAACGACCTCAATAAACACTCCCATACACTAGAATAGGAGATATTAGTCCATAAACAACCTCAATAAACACCCCATATGCTAGGATAGGAGATATTAGTCCATAAATGACCTCAATAAACACCCCTATACGCTATAATAGGAGATATTGGTCCATAAACAACCTCAGTAAACACCCCTATATGCTAGAATAGGAGATATTAGTCCATAAACATCCTCAACAAACACGCCTATACGCTAGAATAGGAGATATTAGTCCATAAACAACCTCAATAAACACTCCCATACGCTAGAATAGGAGATATTAGTCCATAAATTACCTCAATAAACACCCCATATGCTAGGATAGGAGATATTAGTCCATAAATGACCTCAATAAACACCCCTATACACTAGAATAGGAGGTATTAGTCCATAAACGACCTCAATAAACACCCCTATACACTAGAATAGGAGGTATTAGTCCATAAACGACCTCAATAAACACCCCTATACGCTAGAATAGGAGATATTAGTCCATAAACGACCTCAATAAACACCCCATACTCTAGAATAGGAGATATTAGTCCATAAACAACCTCAACAAACACCCCTATATGCTAGAATAGGAGATATTAGTCCATAAACGACCTCAATAAATACTCCTGTACGCTAGAATAGGAGATATTAGTCTATAAACGACCTCAATAAACACTCCTATACACTAGAATAGGAGATATCAGTCCATAAACAACCTCAACACCCCTATACGCTCAAATAGGAGATATTAGTCCATAAGCGACCTCAATAAACACTCCTATACGCTCAAATAGGAGATATTAGTCCATAAACAACCTCAATAAACATTCCTATACACTCGAAAAGGAGATATTAGTCCATAAACGACCTCAATAAACACCCCTATACGCTCAAATAGGAGACATCAGTCCATAAATGACCTCAATAAACATTCCTATATGCTCGAATAGGAGATATCAGTCCATAAATGACCTCAATAAACTCTCTCATACGCTAGAATAGGAGATATCAGTCCATAAACCATCTCAATAAACACTCCTATATGCTAGAATAGGAGATATTAGTCCTTAAACCATCTCATAAACTCTCCTATATGCTAGAATAGGAGATATTAGTCCTTAAACCATCTCATAAACTCTCCTATACACTAGAATGGGAGATATCAGTCCATAAAGGACTTCAGTGAATGCTCTAAATTGAAAGCTGAATCGAGGCCAGTGGTGCTGTGTGGAGTTCTGGCTGGTATTTTAGAGGTTAAAAGGTCATTTTGCCACTAAATGAATGTGTGGTCACCCTGAGTGACCGAAACATGTTGAGAAATGCTTTTCTGTTTGTCTGCCCTCTCTGTCGCCTCCATCAGAAGATCAGCTGCAGTTTCAGCTCTGCACCGCTGTCTGTAAGCAGGGGGGCGGGTCTTTGTGTAAGGAGGCGTGGCCTTGTCTCAGTGGAAAGTGAGACGGATGACTGAAAGCGATGCGATGAGTCATAAATTACAGTGCGGCTGAAATAGAGGCGGCCGGACGGACGGCGACAGGCTGACAGGCGGAGAAAGAAATGTTAGCGCGGAGATGATGGCGCGTTTTGATGACCCGTGACATCGCCGCCCAGAAGACGAAGGGGAGGCGATTAATCAGACCAGCCTGACGGACGGGGAGAGTGATGGGGACGCGGGGTGGGGGGGGGCGAAAAGCCCCCGGAGACTGATTTACAGCGGCAGGGTGACGGAGAAATCAGCAGATGGGCCGTCCAGCCTCGTCTCGCTCGTCTATAATTGTCATTATTTCAGACTGCATTATTCATCCGGGAGAGAGGAAGAATAAAACACGCCTCTCTCGGCCTGACGGCACCAGACTGACGGAACCTCAATCAGGATCTGCGCTAGAACGTCTCACAACACAGCAGGGAACGCCTAGAGCTTCAGGATCAGGAGGCCACAGTCATTAACAGCTAAGAGTGAAGACCTTGAAGAGCCCATTTGCTGGAATTTTCCTGGAACAGCCAGAATTTTCCCGTTCAGCCTACAGAAGTTTAGCTCCGCCCATTTGGCTTACAGCAGTACAGCCCCGCCCATCCAGCCTGCAGCAGTTTAGCTCCGCCCATTCAGCCTACAGAAGTTTAGCTCCGCCCATTTGGCCTTCAACAGTTTAGCCCCGCCCATTCAGCCTACAGCAGTTTGCCTCCGCCCATTTGACCTACAGAAGTTTAGCTCCGCCCATTCAGCCTAAAGCAGTTTAGCTCCACCCATTTAGCTTACAGCACTATTTGTTCCAACCATTTCATATTAATGTTATAAGGAAGGCTCCAATTAGATTTTGGACAAAGCAGCCAATCAGAACACAGCTCATTTACATATATATAGTTGCATGCAAAAGTTTGTTTTGCAAACTTTCATATTGTTGTTGATTTTCTGAGAGTAAGTTAAACACTTCTGTACATTTTAATACACAGTTACTGTTTGTTTGCTGAACTTTAACATTTTGGGAAAATAACAAAACATAAATTGTGATCTGTGCAAAAGTTACAGCACATTTTATATTTTAGATCTTATTTTTTCCTCCAATATGATAAATTCAGCAAATTAATAGACATATTTGAATCTGCAGAATTGGCCATGTTTCCATGGGAAGTTCTCTGTTGAGAGGCGTTAAACTTTATTTCACTTAGCAAATCAACAACAGCACAGACTGTAATCTGTACACGACTGTATCAGTCTTAAAGGTACAGACACAAAAACTCTGGAGGACACAGAGCAGCTGGAAAGCCTCTGTGTAGAAACACTGTGTTCAGGGCATAAAACTGGCCCTTTAAAGTGATTTGGTGTTATTATCACAGTCTGGGGGGGCGTCGTTATTGGGTGCTGGTCTACAGTCGACACTCTCCAGATTTCGGAGGTGAAAGACAGAGATGGCAGAGAAGTGGACCAGATGGAGAGAGTTTTGGCCACTGACTGGTCCAGAACGCCGGTCAGTGAGATGTAAGCTGTTAGCGATCAGAACACGCGCTCAGAACTCGGCGCCAGAATCGAGACCAGTTTGTCCAAATGTTCAAACTTCTCTCCCAAAGCAAAGTGAAATTTGGACAACTTCACACAAACTGTCGTCTGCCAGCTCAGAGACATCCACCACGCCAAGAAGCAAAGCCTGTTTAGTGTTTATCATTAAAGAGCCCATTAAAGAGACCATAGCCTGCTCTTCTCCTGTGTTCTCCCTCAGGGCCACTTATAACGTGTGTGAGCTTGTATCCACCAAAAGCAGTGACCAAATGACCAGGCTGTGCCTTTAAGACTGATATATGTAAATATGCTCTGTTCTCACTGGCTGTCTTGTACCGTGCCATATTCAAAAAGCAGTCTGGGATTAAACACTCCTTATAATTTCAGTGAATGGGCGGAGCCTGTAGGCTGAATGGGTAGGGGCTAAACTGCTGTAGGCCGAATGCGTGGGGCTAAACTGCTGTAGGTTGAGTGGGTGGGGCTAAACTGCTGTAGGCCGAATGGGTGGGGCTAAACTGCTGTAGGTTGAGTGGGTGGGGCTAAACTGCTGTAGGTTGAGTGGGTGGGGCTACACTGCTGTAGGCAGATTTATGGAAATGTGTACATGGCTCTGACATCAAAACATGCTATTTTCTCTATGTTAAGCTGCTGTGGGCGGAGCCAAACTGAAGTGGGCTGAGTGGGCGGGGCTAAACGAGGTCGTGAAATGTATGTTCCCGTGTTACACCACACTCCAATTCCAGACACAGTCAGGAATGCAGCTCTAGGCCTGATAGGGCCCTTTAATCCTGCAGGCCTTTGTTAAGGCAGTGAAATGCTGATCAGTGGCTGCTGCAGTGTTAGCAGCGTTATGCTAATTCTGCCTCCGCCGGGGATCGCGGGTCAGAGCGAATGTGGCTGGGCAATCTGCCCGCTGCGTTTTAGCATGCAGGCGCTAATCCTGGCTGTGAAGGAGGCCGAGTTTGGGGGATCTTGAGAGGCCGCGTTTGGGGGCGCTGGAGCGTTCAGAGCGCGGGAACGCACCGTGAAAGACGAGCGACAGAACGAGCCGCGGGGAGAAGCTCTGAACGCGCTGCGCTTACAAAGTCAGCGCAGATTCCTCTTCTGTACGCATTTATTATAAAGCATAATTCCTAATAGACGCCTGCAGCGCTGAGAGAGTCTCTGTAAAACCGCCGCAGATATCGATTCAGAACAGAGCCGCTGCTGTTTACAAACCGCAGAAATAACAACGCTGTTTCTGAATGCTTACTTATCGCCTGCAGCCTCGCAGACAGTCCAGCCCCGTCTGAGCTCCTCAAACATCTGTAATGATCTACAGTCAATCATTGATAACTGTGACAGTCATCATCACAGGAACTGTAACAGTAACATTAACGTAGACGCTTCACTGTCTTTGTTCTGCTTGTACTTTAACCTGATTTATCTTTGCCAACCTTTGTTTATCATTTTTCAAAGGATTCATAATTGAATTGAGTGAAATCTGGTATTTTATATTGTATTGAATATGTGCCTAAACAATCATACGCTAACTGAATCGTACTGTGGTGAAATCTGAGATTGTGATGCACTGAATCATTTCCAAAAGAACCGCATTTGAACTGATTCATCTCAAAGTATGACATTTTGTGATCACTGAATCATTTCTGAAAGAATCCTAATCAAATCAGTTTAAAATGAAATTTGATTTTGTGACACTCTGAACTGTTCCCGATAGAACTGGAATTAAAGTGAGTTGATTCATAGTGAAATGTGGTATTTTGTGATGCACTGAATCATTTAAAAGAAGAATCATAATTGAACTGAATTGATTCACAGTAAACGTTATATTTTATGATGCCCTGAATCGTTTTCAAAGAGAATCATAATTAAACTGATTTGATTCATAATGAAATGTGAATAAATACGTGAAATGTGATTGTGTTATACACCGAATCGTTTCCAAAAAGAATCATCATTGAATCAGTTCAAAGTGAAATGTGATTGTTATACACAGAATCGTTTCCAAAAAGAATCATAATTGAATCGATTCAAAGTGAAATGTGAGATTTCATAATGAACTGAATCGTTCTCTAAAGAATCGTAACTTCTACTACATGATTATTATTGCTATTATTAATATATATATAGTCACAGGTTTTATAAGTTCCTTTCCGTTCTCTTTATTCCTCCACTCCTTTATTTCTCCACCCTCAGAGTATGTACTCACATTTGGTGGTCCCAATGGTGGTTCTCCTCACCCCTGGACCGCTCCCAGACCCCCAGCATCCGTCCTCATCATCGCAGTCTCCGCTGTAGGGACCCTCTGTGTCTCCGCTGCCCGTCTCGATCAGGTCCAGCGTGCCGAGCTTCGGGATGGAGCGACCCTGCAGGAGCTGATAAACATGCACACATATTTCATTATTATTAAACATATTAAACATCTACTGTCTACTGCTTATTAAAGTGCATCACAGCCCGACCGATATATCAGTGGACCGATAATATCAGCTGATACCAATGCAGTTTTATCAGCATCACTGAAAATATATAATTAGTTTAATACTTTTTAACATATACTTCATTTTACTTTATTGTTCTTATTGTGTTTCACTTCCCTTCTAGTGCACTATTTACCTACACTACTAAAAACTCAGCATTAAAGCGATGGTTTGGTGAAAAATCACATTTGTCCAGCTTTCCCTCCCCTACGTTAAATATATTCGATCATATAAGACAAGTTTTGAGTCGAAGTTTGTTTCTTTAGTTTTTAGGCTAATGTAGCTAACAGAAGCTTAGACCCCACCAATTAGCATGGTGCTAACTGCATCAGTAATCTACAATAGACCTGATGATGTGGTTTCTGACACTGTATGATTCACTGTATCTATAAACATGGACTAAAGCACATTAGCATAGCTGAACACATTAGCAGCCACCTGGAACACTGAATTTGATCTTTCGGGAATTTTATAATTCATTTTTGGTTTGAGGCAAGAATGTGATGGTTATGATATGCACTCAGTTCTATGCTTTACATACTATGTTAGCTTTGTAGCATATCATGGAAAATTATCATTTTTTAAAATAAAAACTTCTGTAAACATTCCCGTCCTTACAATCATACATGGCAACCAAGCTGTTTTAAATTCAACATGGCTGTGATGTCACAACCATGAACCCACTTTTATGTGGCTTCCCATTCTCATCTATAAACATGAGCTAAATTACATTAGCTTAGCTAAAAACATAGCAGCAGCTACAGAAGCTCAAACCTGGTCCATAGAAAACAAAGCCTCCCTAATATATAGTGATATAGAATAAAGCTGTTAGCATTCAGCTTGTGTGGTGCTAACTGGTGTAGTTAGCTATGTTAGCCTTGTAGCCCCAGTGCTAAAACTAACTAGCAACTACCTCAGATGCTAAACATGTGTTGCCTGATTGAGTACATTTGGGTTCTGCGGCGGGGGAATGTGCTAAAGTGCTGAACTGTTCCTTCAATAACACAAGTGAAGCTGTGAATCCGCTCTGCTAGCTCCTGTTTGCTAGCGCAGTCCGTCTGTTTCGGTTCTCTCGGGTCTCACGACCTCTAAAAGTGAGTTCAATGTGACAGACCCTCGCTCATCCATCACAGCTCCGATAATCCATTAGCCCTGCTCGTCGCTATGCTAACACTGAGCCTCTACAGTGGCTAATTAGCGTGTACAATCGCGCCGGCCCACTGAGCTCTACCTGTCTGCTAAATACAAACAAACAGCTTTCAGCGTCTGAGCGCCCGTCTTGCATTTCAATCAGGCAATTAAAGCGCAGCGCTTCCCCCCCGACGCTCACGACACACACGCTAAGTTTGTAATTAGCCTAGCGCTGCCGTCCGTAGGTGTGGATCCAGTAATGATGAAGGGAGGCTCTGTGTGTTTGTCATTGCTCCACAGAGGACGAACTCACTGCGCTGTACTTCCACAGCTCCATTCTGTAACGGCAGCAACGTTAGCAGCTTAAAAGTGCCTGTACTGACTGTATTGATCCCTATTACGGGTTATTATTCACTTAACTGTGAGCACCAGCTCTGCTCCCTTCATTACGCTGAAGGACGACTCAGAGAGAAACGTGTTCAGAGGAGTATTCATATCTGTAGGCTTTAGAGGCCCAGTGCTCTTGCTTCACTCGCATTCGTCAACATTTTCTGTGCTGTTTTATGCAGAGGAAATGGTGCAAAGCAAGAAAGTAAAATATATCACACTTAAAACAGAGGGTTCTTCAAGGGTTCTTTAGTAAAGAAAATGGTTCTATATGGAACCATGAACACATTAAAGGTTTCTTTGTGGAGAATGTGTTGTATATGGTTCTATATAGCATCAAAAAGGGCTCTTCTATTGTTACAAACTTCACATTCACAATCGCAGAACACTTTTTGCTGCTATATAGAACCCTTTCCCAAAGGTTCTGTACTACAACACATCCTCCTTCAATCTGAGGAACCATTTCACCATGCAAAGGGTTCCTTGAGTGTTGATGGTTCTATATAGAACCATCTTCTTTACTAAAGAACCCTTGAAGAACCATCTTTTTTAAGAGTGTAGATTGCAAAAAAAAAGTATTAAATTAATTTCAATAACAAAATTCCAAAAAAAAACTGAAAGCAGCGATTTGTCCACACTGACCTGTATTTATACAAAGAGTACAAAGATGAGATTTGTATTGTTTTGTATTGTTATTATTTGTGTTGTTTTTTATTCTGAAAATGAATCATTATGAATCATACGAATCATTCTTAAACTGATGCCTGCAACAAAAAAAGTGTTCGTTTTAAGACTAAGAACATTCAAAACACATCTTAAACGTGTGATTCAATCATGCTTGCCTATAAAAGGCGCCTCCAGGAAAGGCGGAGTCGAGGCAAAAATGCATCAGCAAAACATTCAACCCTTTAAAAATAACGTTTCTCTGCAAGCGCCTGCACAGACACATCCTCTACACTGTATAATATCATCTACAGATTCAGAAAATCAGGAGAAACGAAACCTCTGTGCGTGAAGGAAAAGGCTGAAAACCACAATGTGACCTTTGACCCCTGACAGCACTGCATTAAAAACAAACATGTTTCTGTTATCGATAAGCGCTGCCCATCACTGCATGAACAAATGCAGGTTAAGTCTGTACTCTGCACAGTGGAAGTCACATATCAACAACGTCCAGAAACGCCGCCGACTTCTCTGGGCTCGAGCTCATCTGAAACGGACTGAAGCTCAGTAGAAACATGTATTGTGGACAATTTCACATTGTTTATGGAAATAATGGGCGTCGTGTTCTCCGGGCCAAAGAATAAAAGGATCATCTGGATTGTTACCAACCCAAAGTGTTCCAAATCTGTCTGTCATGGTGTGGGGGAGTGTTGTTGGGTAACCTTCACATCTGTGGCCTGCTTTCCAAACTGGATCAGTTTGTGTTCAGTCCTCAAATGATTGTTAAGTGTTTCCAAAAGGAAAGGTGATGTAACACAGCAGTAAACATGCTCCTGTCCTGCTATTTGCAAATAAAAACAACAGTTCATAAGATGAAACATAAGATATTGTGTTTTTGCATTGTTTTCAGCTCAAACTGAGTTTACCAATCACTGTTTTTTATTTGTATTAGCATTTCACAAACTGCCCCAACGTTTCTGAATTTAAAGTCTGTATATATGTAATTAATCATAACAAATCAAGGTAAATGAATGCATGTACAGGTGCAGGAGTGCAGAACACTGCCTTATACAGTCCTCGTGGAGATGCAGCATCGCCTTGAACACACTTTGTCTACACTATCTGAGAGCTTTCAGCTGTTTTCTACGTGTTTTTATCAGTTTTAACAGTGCTTTAGGGTTCCCTCAGAGTCCACCACTGCGCTTTTCAGAGGACAGCCACCCAGGCCTGTTTCCGTCTTTTTGTCCATGTCCTTCAAAACAAAGCTGAGGTGTTTATCACCTGAGGGAGCTATTTGAGAAGAAAGGCCACTACGGAGAACTCCTGCTCGGCCTACAGTCGCCGTACTGTCAATCACAGCTGCGTGTTTGACCACGGCGGAGGCCCTGCAGGGAAGAAGGACTTTATCTCCTCCTCCTCTTCCTCCTCCTCTGCTTCTTATCTCCCCTGAATGGGAATGGCTTCATCGTTCCTGAGGGACGCCTCGAGCTTCCCGCGCCGCCGATCCACTTTAGACGCTTTCTAAAACAATTCTCCAGCCCAGCCGTCGGGAAGCTTTTAAAGAGTCCACATTTTACATTCTTCTTCTGTTTCATTTCTCCCTGAGGGCCCCTGATAACGTCCGCCTGAGTTTATGGACTAAAATACGTTTTCCAGCCTCGCTTTGTCCTTTACAAGTACACAGACTGTGCCTTTAAGACTGATATATGCAAATGAGCTCTGTTCGGATTGGGTGTTCTGTACCGGATAAGGCTAAACTGCAGGCTAAACAGACAGGACTAAAGTGCTGTAGGCTGAATGGGTGGGGCTAAAGTGCTGTAGGCTGAATGGGAGGGGCTAAAGTGCTGTAGGCTGAATGGGTGGGGCTAAACTGCTGTAGGTTGAATGGGAGGGGTTAAACTGCTGTAGCTGAATGGTGGAGCTAAACTGCTGTAGCTGAATTGTGGGGCTAAACTGCTGTAGCTGAATGGTGGAGCTAAACTGCTGTAGCTGAATGGGTGGAGCTAAACTGCTGTAGCTGAATGGTGGAGCTAAACTGCTGTAGACTGAATGGTGGAGCTAAACTGCTGTAGACTGAATGGTGGAGCTAAACTGCTGTAGGTTGAATGGGTGGAGCTAAACTGCTGTAGCTGAATGGTGGAGCTAAACTGCTGTAGACTGAATGGTGGAGCTAAACTGCTGTAGCTGAATGGTGGAGCTAAACTGCTGTAGCTGAATGGGTGGAGCTAAACTGCTGTAGCTGAATGGTGGAGCTAAACTGCTGTAGACTGAATGGTGGAGCTAAACTGCTGTAGACTGAATGGTGGAGCTAAACTGCTGTAGCTGAATGGGTGGAGCTAAACTGCTGTAGCTGAATGGTGGAGCTAAACTGCTGTAGCTGAATGGTGGAGCTAAACTGCTGTAGGTTCAATGGGTGGAGCTAAACTGCTGTAGCTGAATGGTGGAGCTAAACTGCTGTAGACTGAATGGTGGAGCTAAACTGCTGTAGGTTGAATGGGTGGAGCTAAACTGCTGTAGCTGAATGGTGGAGCTAAACTGCTGTAGCTGAATGGTGGAGCTAAACTGCTGTAGGTTCAATGGGTGGAGCTAAACTGCTGTAGCTGAATGGTGGAGCTAAACTGCTGTAGACTGAATGGTGGAGCTAAACTGCTGTAGGTTGAATGGGTGGAGCTAAACTGCTGTAGCTGAATGGTGGAGATAAACTGCTGTAGCTG